TATGATCTACATTGCGTTCTTCATCAAATTCTATAAATATAACACGCTCATGACTGCTGTCGAACTTAAAAAGCTATCATTTAATTTATTTGATGCCACATGCTAATGACTAAGCCACCAAACAACAAAATTTGCCACATTTCTAGTCAATTGAAATAAAAGGGGTTAGTGGCTGTTGTTGTTGATGAGTAATTATTTCATAATTAAATGAAATTTTAATAAAGAACACAAACGTGACACACATATACACATGTAATTATATGTATTCACTCATGAATTCCTAACAAAGTCCACCACATGAATTTGGCGTAAATTTTAGATTAGCTTTCACTTTGAGGTTTAGTCAGTCAGCCCGTCAACCAGTCATTCAGTCCAAGCTAATAGCCAATTTAAATGACTTTTTGTTTTGTAGGTTAGTTGCATGGCTTTGTTTGGGCGCCATTAATTAAGGTTTTTGGGACTGGCGGTGGCTGTGTGTAAAACCGCACAGCCACAGACATTTTGTGTCATTTTCTGTTTCGGTTTTATATTTTTGTAGATGACATTTACAATTTTCGAATAATAGTTTCAGAAATTCAATTAATATTTGCGAAATTGTCAACAAAAAGTTTGTTGGTCCATTACAGGCAAATGAAAGTGCAAGTGTTTTGTAATGCACTGCGGAATATTGATGTGGAGATTGAAGTGAGGGCAAGTGTTGCCATTTTAGAATTGCAAAAATTTAGGGGATTGATGTCGAGAACCTCCAGAGTGTATATCGTTAAGGAAGGCCTATAGAAAGTTTTATAGAGAAAGAAAGCTTGAACAAAATCACATACAGGGTGAGATGAAAAAAAACTGAAATCAACTTCAGACTGCTGTCATTTCTAAGCCACTCGTCCGACAGCTGTTCAAATTATTCCAGTGACAGCTCATTATATTGTTTACAAGCGTACAAAGGCATTTTGTTGAGATTTTTCCAGGAAAAAAGTTATTCGTGATGGAATTCAAGCGTGATGGTGTGATTTCTTTATATTTGGCTGGAAACCCCCAAGTGGCTAGAGTAGAGTTAGAGTACTCCAGCATTCAAATGTGAATAAATCTTTTGTGTCTCGTACCATCGCTCGTTACCCGACGTATAGAAAGTGGACGCAAGAAAGCGGCAACATCAGCAGAAATTTTTCGAAAAGCAATGAACGACTTAATCGAAACTCTCGTCGCAGTGGCCGAAAAATGGCTCGTGAGCTGAACATATTGCAATATTTCATTCGGCAAGTATTGAAAAATTATCTCGGGGTAAAGCCATTGAAATTCCAAAAAGTGCAAGAACTTGCACCGCAACAGAAAAAAAATAGACTCAAAAGAGCTAAAGAGTTGCTTCGCTTGGCCAAAAGTGGTGAACTGCCGAATTTGGTTTTCTCCGTCTCCGATGAGAAAACATTCGTTGTCCAGCAGTTTGTAAACAAACAAAATGATCGTGTTTATTGCAAAAGAGGTCAGCTGAAAATGTGCACCTTCGGTTGGCTAGCAGAACTCAAGCGCCGACCAAGGTGATGGTGTGGGACGCCATAACAGTCGATGGTCGCTCTCCACTCATATTAATCGACCGTGGCATCTGAATAAATGCCGAATATTATCGCGAAAATATTCTGGAGGATGTATTAAAGCCTTGGCAACGCAAACATTTTGGCCGCAGACCTTGGACATTCCCACAGGTCACTCAGCACGCACCACCCAAGAATGGTTACAAAATGAGGTTCCTCGCTTCATTTCTAGCGCACAATGCCTACCAAAATCTCCGGATACCAATCCGTTGTGTCTGGAGTATGGTCGCTTTCCGCTCGTATTAATCGGCCATGGCATCAGAATAATTGCTGAATATCATCGCGAAAATATTCTGGAGGGTGTATTAAAGCCTTGGACACGCAAACTTTTTGGCCGCATACCTTGGACATTCCCACAGAACTCAGCACCGTCGCACGCGGCACCCAAGAACCGTTACAAAATGAGGTTTCTCGCTTCATTTCCAGCGCAAATGGCCACCAAAATCTCCGGATACCAATCCGTTGGACTATTGTGTCTGGAGTATTTTGGAAAGCAAGGTTGGAACTAAAAAATACCAAAGTGTCGATCACTTCAAGCAAGCTCCTTGCTGGGCCAAATGGGCCAAAATACCGCAGAGCAACATTGGGGCAGCGTGTGACGGTATCATTGGCCGTTTGAAGGCCATAATTTGTGCCAAAGATGACCAATTCGAACAAATCTAAACTTATTCTAAAATTTGATGCTATTTTTTGCTTTCATTCAATAAAATTTAAACAAAAAATGTTAAAATTATGGCCTTTGACTTTGTTGTCCTTGTTTGTTGTTTTGTCTCTCCCAGTATTTGTATAGGACTTTGAAAAAGTTGTTTATCCAAGGCAGATATTAAGAAGGTCCTAGATTCCAATATCTTTCCAGAAGCTTTTTTGTCTTTAATTTCCTGGAGAAGGTACTTTATCAATAGAAATTTTGTGGAGGGCCCTCCAATATTAGAATCCTTATAGGAGGTTAGTTTTATTCAAGCATTTACACATTAAATATCTCCCATATTATTGCAAAAAAAGTGTCCTTTAGAGGCTCAATTTTGACCAAAATTTAGCATCCCAAAACAGCAGATCTTGAACATTAATCGACATTAGCCATTTGCTGGGTGTAACGACTAATAAGTGGTTGTTGTTTAAATTGAGGCTGTGGTCGGTTTGCAAGTGCAACCATTTACACTCACTCCCACATACATACACATGTTGTGGTATACCATTTTGGAATATGTATAAGTGTTTTATTAATTAAACTTTTGGTTGTGAAATGTTACACACAAACACACTCATCCGCATATATTCGCACACATAAAACTACATTCAAAGTTAGAAAATACATTGTACAAATTCACGATCCACAAGGAAAGTCCCCGCTAGGCTATACAATGAGAACTGTTGCTCTGAACTCGCGTTCGCAGTGGTGGTGTTACAGCAAACATTTGCCAACTGAAAACATTCATTCGTTCGTACATTTAAGTGCAACATCACCCAACCCAAGCCAGCTGCCACAAGACGACACCCAACGACAGTTTTATTTAAATTTGTGGTTTTCTTTTAAAATCTTTCAACTGCCACAAAATGTTGGTTGTTTTTTTTGCAGCAGTAGTAGTTTGTATTTCAACAATAGGGAGAAAAATTCACAGAAAACCCATGAAAATTATAAAGGATGTGAAGGAATTTTTTGTCCTCTTTTTTTGGGTAATTTTTTAAGGTGTAACATGGAGAGAATTCCGAGTTTTTTTTCCATGGTGTTGAATACAATTTGGGAATATATTTCAGGTAGCATTGTAAAGTGACTATAATGATATCAAGGTCTAATTACCATAACATTGGGAGAAAAAGGAACAAAATTGGCTTTCTGATATTACATTAAAATGAAGAAGAGCAAACAATGAGGAATTCTTATGAAAGAGCTGATCCTCAAAGAAAATCAGAAATTTCTAATAAGAAATCCTCAGAGAAGACCCGAAGGTCATAGAAAAGCCGGAGGTCTTCTCAAAGAAGAGCCGGAGGTCTTCTCGTAGAAGAGCTGGAGGTTTCCACATAAAAGAGCCGGAGGTCTTCACATATAAGGGCCGGAGGTTTTCTCATAGAAGAGCCGGTGGTCTTCTCAGAGAAGTGCAGAAGGTCTTCTCAGAGAAGAAGAGCAGAAGGTCTTCTAAGAGAAGAAGGCCAGAAGGTCTTCTCCCAGAAGAGCTAAAGGTCTTCTCCCAAAAGAACTGAAGGTCTTCTCTCAGAAGAGCTGAAGGTCTTCTCATAGAAGAGCCGGAGGTCTTCTCATAGAAGAGCCGGAGGTCTTCTCATAGAAGAGCCGGAGGTCTTCTCATAGAAGAGCCGGAGGTCTTCTCATAGAAGAGCCGGAGGTCTTCTCATAGAAGAGCCGGAGGTCTTCTCATAGAAGAGCCGGAGGTCTTCTCATAGAAGAGCCGGAAGTCTTCTCATAGAAGAGCCGGAAGTCTTCTCATAGAAGCCGGAGGTCTTCTCATAGAAGAGCTGGAGGTCTTCTCATAGAAGACCCCTAGGACTTCTCATAGAAGACCCCTAGGTCTTCTCATAGAAGGCCCGGAGGTCTTCTCATAGAAGGACCGGAGGTCTTCTCATAGAAGGCCCGGAGGTCTTCTCATAGAAGGCCCGGAGGTCTTCTCATAGAAGACACGTAGGTCTTCTCATAGAAGACTCGTAGGTCTTCTCATAGAAGACGCGTAAGTCTCCTCATAGAAGACGCGTAGGTCTTCTCATAGAAGACCCTCAGGTCTTCTCGTAGAACACCCGTAGGTCTCATAGAAGACCCATAGGTCTTCTTATAGAAGACCCGTAGGTCTTCTCATAGAAGACCCGTAGGTCTTCTCATTTAAATCCCGTAGGTTTTCTCATAGAAGACCCGTACGTCTTCTCTTAGAAGACACTTAGGGCTTCTCTTAGAAGACCCGTACGACTTCTTATAGAAGGCCCGTAGGTCTTCTCATAGAAGGCCCGTAGGTATTGTCATTGAAGACCCGTAGGTCTTCTCATTGAAGACCTGTAGGTCTTCTCATAGAAGGCCCGGAAGTCTTCTCATAGAAGGACCGGAGGTCTTCTCATAGAAGACCCGAAGATCTTTTTACAGAAGAGCAAATGTCTTCTCACAGAGGAGTATACAATTTTCTCACAGCAGAGTAGAAGGTAGTCTTACATAAGATCTTCTTCCAAAAAAAAAAAAAAATCGGAATTTCTTCTTGGAAAGCCAGAAGCTGCAACATTTCATAGTTTCCGAAACTTTAGGTATCTTCCCAAAATGTTTGCCTTTACTAACATATTTTCCTAACAGCAACTAAAACCTTTCATAAACCCCTTTTCAATAACTAACTTCGTTTTTCTATCTTTCTCTCCCATTCCTTTTTGCACGGTTATAAAAACTACAAAAACGGTATACCTCAAAATACATTGATTGCTCCATTTAAGAAGCCAAAAAGGAAGAACAAAACACAAACACATTAATGTGTTGATTACAAGCCAAGAATATCAGAAGACGTGATAAAAGGCAGCAAAGAAAAAGCGAAGAGCGGAATAAAAAACCATAGAACATCAAAATGTTTGTGGGCATAAATCAAATGAGGTATAGCGGTAAGAAACGTAAAAAATCTTTGGAAGCCGAAGGAGCTGCAGGCAAATGTACAGCAACAGACGACGAAGAAGGCGAAGATAAAGGTGTCATGGAACACCAAAGGAGCTCAGAACAACACAATCATATTACAAAGCCGGCAGGCATGTCAGAAATGCCATTAACGGGCAAAGGGGAAACTGGTGAATGCCAAAAACAACAAAGGCAAATAGCAAAAACGCCATTGCTGCTCTGTGAAATAGACAATGGCAAAAGCAGGCCGCCCTCAGCTGTGACGGCAGAGGGCACGACGGCAATACCAAAGACCTCGCCAACGACGATAAACGAACCTGCAGCTACCAATGCATGTAAATGCAAAAATTGCCAATGCAATTTTCAAAACGTTCAACAGCAAAAGGAAAACAAATACCTCCCCTTCACGGCGTCCAGTAAAACGCCCTGCTCCCCCTCAGCCACCGGCCAGCTGAACAAACCCACCGTTGTAACATCACTGGCAAACGTTTACCTTTGTCTGGGTATATTGACATTAGCACTGGCTTCCCTAGCTGTGTTATTTTATTCGCATGTAACCTCCTGCCCTGCATCATCAACAACGGCGTGTTGTCATCCAACCCTGCCACCATCACCATCCAGCAATAACTGTGTCAATTGCCAAAATTCCACGTCATTGCCAATAAACCAAGAGGGAACATCCGAGAAACAACATCATCATCAACGTCGTGATACCTCGACAGCAGGTGGTGAAGTTGCTGAACCTTTCGCAGAGAAATTCCCTCAAGATTTTTTATCGACATCGTCATCGCCTTCATCATCATCATCGCCGTTGTTATTTCGTGAACGTTTTCGACGGGAATTACTTGACTCGGAACATATGCTCTACTCCATGGTGGAAAGAATATTACAGCAGCAGACATCTGGAGAATTGCAACGGATGCAACAGCAACTACAGCAACAGCAGAACCTTCAAACAAATACAAAGCATATTTCTTTGGGGAAAGTTGAAGATCAAAGGTAAGTGTTGCAACAGCAAAAATATAATTTGTTTGTAAAGTGAGCGGGGGGAGGGCAATAGCATAAAGAGAAGAAAAACAAAATTGCATTACACTGGTTTACAAAAATGTTGGGGGGTTTGACAAAAAAAGAGTGGGTACTTCTAGAAAGATTAGAAGGGCAAATTGTAATTTAGAAAATTAGGGAAATTTATGGCTTCGAGAAATGAATAGAAAAAAAGCTGTTCAAATTTAAATTTCGAAGAATTGTGTATAGCGCATAAATTTTTTTAAATTTCGTATTTAAAGTTCGTAATTGGTACTTTAATTTATAAAAAAAAGCGCGAATGCAGGTCCACGTCTTCGTATGGACGGATTTTTATTCAAATTTTTTTCAAATTTCGTATTTAAAGTTCGTAATTGGTACTTTAATTTATAAAAAAAATCGCGAATGCAGGTCCACGTCTTCGTATGGCACCTATATAACAGTAGCTCCCAATATTCGGCAGTTTAATAATATTAGCGACATTATTAACAGGAATGGTTTTAAATTTCGTATTTGAAGTTCGGAATCTGCTGACAAAACAAAAAAAAAACTTATGCAGGTTCTTGTCTCTATATGGCGCATACAGAGGTGTTTTTCGGTGAGTTTGTCATTTATTTGTAAAGCCTCTAAATATATATTTTAGACCCCACAAAGTATATACAGGGTGAGATGAAAAAATTGCAACCAACTGCATACTGCTGCAATTCTAAGTCACGCGTCCGACACCTGTTAAAATTATTCCAGTGACAGCTCATTATATTGTTTACAAGGGTAAAAACACAGTTTGGTAAGAATTTTCCAGAAAAAAAGTTATTCGTGATGGAATTCCAGCGTGATAGGGTGATTTCTTTATGTTTGGCTGGAAAACCACAAGTGGCTATCGTTAGAGCACTCCAGCATTTAAATGTGAATAAATCTTTTGTGTTTCGTACCATCGCTTGTTACCGAGATATTGGTAGTGTAGCCTGCCGTCAAGGAAGTGTACGGAAGAAAACAGCAACATCAGCAGAAATGGTTCGAAAAGTAAAGAAGCGACTTAATCGAAACCAGCGTCGCAGTGGCCGAAAAATGGCTCGTGAGCTGAACATGTCGCAATATTCCATTCGGCAAATATTGAAAAATGAGATCGGGGTAAAGCCATTGAAATTCCAAAAAGTGGAAGAACTTATATCGCAACAGGAAGAAAATAGACTCAAAAGAGCTAAAGAGTTGCTTCGCTTAGCCGAAAGTTTAGAACTGCCGAATTTGGTTTTCTCCGCTGAGAAAACATTCGTTGTCCAGCCGTTTGTAAACAAACAAAATTATCGTGTTTGCTTGTCAAAGAGGTCAGCTAAAAATGTGCACCTTCGGTTGGCCACCAAAACTCAAGCGCTGGCCATAGTGATGGTGTGGGCCGCCAAACAGCCGATGATCCCTCTCCGCTCGTATTAACAACCCGTGGCATCAGAATAAATGCCCAATGTTATCGCGAAAATAATCTGGAGGGTGTATTAAAGCCTTGGGCACGCAAACATTTTGGCAGCAGACCTTGGACATTCCAAAAGGACGCAGCACATCGCTCTCAGCACGCGCCACCAAAGAATGGTTACAAAATGGGGTTCCTCGCTTCATTTCCAGCTCACAATGGCCACCAAAATCTACGGATATCAATCCGTTGGACTATTGTGTCTGGAAAGCAAGGTGTCGATCACCTCAAGCAAGCGCTTCGTCGGGAATGGGCCAAAATACCGCAGAGCAACATTCGGGCAGCGTGTTGCGGTTTCTTTGGCCGGTCGAAGGCCATAATTCGTATCAAAGGTGACCAATTCACACAAGTCTTAACTTACACTTAAATTTGATGCCATTTCCGACATTTTTTTGGTTTCATTCAATAAAATTTAAAAAAATGTAAAAATTATGGCGTTTGTCTTTGTTGCAGTTGTTTTTTATCTCACCCCGTATAGGCGTACCTCCCGATTTTCCGTATTTTGAAGGTTTCTGCCACAATTTCCAATCAAATAAGCTGACACTTGTGGTTCTCGGTAGGTTTGTACTTCCCCTGCAAAAAAATATTCGCTACAGGTGCACTAATTAGTATATCCCCCATATAAGGTACCTGCAGGTTTTCGGTATTTTGAAGGCTTCTGCCACAAATTTTAATCAAATTTGCAAAAACTTGACAGGTTGGGGTTCTCTGTAGGCCTGTTCTCTCCGTGTAAAAAATGTGCACTAATGTGTAGCCCCTATCCCCTCCCGATTTTCGGATTTTGAAGACATCAATCACAATTTCCAACTAAATTAGCTGAAACCTGACATTTGGAGTTCTTGGTCGGTCGGATCTATCCTTGCCAAAAATGATTGTTTCATGTCCATGAATTGGTATAGCCCCCATATAATGGTGCCTCCACACACTCAATTGCCACAATTCCCTACAAAAAATATTCGCTGCACGTCCACTGATTGGTACAGACTACAAATATAGGGGTACCTCCTGCCATAATTTCAAATCAAATCAGTTGGCACTTTACATTTGGGGTTTTTGGTAGGTTTGTTCTCGACCAGCAAAAGAAAAATCGCTACAGTCCCCATATATCGGAACTCCCGATTTTCGGTATATTAAAGGTTTCTGTTACAATTTCCAACCAAATTAGCGGAAACTTGACATTAAGGGATCTTGGTAGGTCAGTGCTCTCCATGCAAAAAATATTCGCTGCAGGTCTACTAATTGGTATAGCCCCCATATAAGTGTACCTTCCGATTTTTTATATTTTGAAGGATTCTGCCACAGTTTCCAACCAAATTAGAAGAAATTTAACAATTGGAGTCCTGGGTAGGTTTGTTTGCTCCATAAAAAAATATTTTCAACAGGCCCACAAATTGGTATAGACCCTATATATAAGGGTACCTCCAGATTCTCTGTATTTTGGATGTTTTTGCCACATCTTCCAACCAAATTAGAAGAAATTTGACAATTTGAGTCCTGGGTAGGTCTGTTCGCTACAGGCCCACTAATTGGTATAGGCCCTATATAAGGGTACCTCCAGATTCTCTGTATTTTTGATGTTTTTGCCACATCTTCCAATCAAATTAGAATAAATTTGATAATTGGAGTTCTAGGTAGGTCTGTTCTTGGTATAGCCCCCAAAAATGGTACGGCCCGATTTTCGGTATTTTCAAATGTTTTCTCCTTGCAAAAAAATATCTATTTAGGTCTACTAATTGGTATAGCCCCCATATAAGGTACCTCCCGATTTTTGGTATTTTGAGGATTTAAGCCACATTTTATAACGAATTTGTCTACAATTTTGTATTTATAGTTGGTAATGGGTTTTAGGTAGGGTATGTCCCCCCCTTTTGGATAATGGCCATGAAAAGTTAAATACAATATGTCACCATTACATTTCGTCATTTTGAATATATATGTCACAATGACAGCTACTGAATTTCAACGAAATTGAGTTTTATCGATTACCCCAACCACAGAATTTTTAGCAAACGGTGAATGTTAGGCCCGAAGCAATTTTGGAAATTTGTCAACATCAACATGGAAATCTATTACAACACAACATCCCGCTGTCACATCCTCTGGGCTAATGGTCATAATTTGTCAGAACAAAATTGATATTACCTTCAGTGCCGTCCTTTACCTTCGGTTTTTTTTTGAACGGCACGGGAAAATATGTGAACATGGTCAAACCTCATGGTCTTTTGGACATTTTCGTTTTTTTTTGCACTCTCATTTATTCACTTAACAGTTGTGGTTGGGTTTGTTGGTTGGTTGGCCGCTCGCTCGTTTGGTTCGTCGTCGTTCATTGGTCATAGTTCAACGTCAGGGCTTTTTTCCTTATCGGGTTAATGGGCCAATTGTAAAGGTAGCCACTGGCAACATGTGTGCCGTGAACCTTGGCCGGTTCTCGACACACGCACACACACTGATGCACCAACAACAAGAACAACGACCACTTACCCCATTCGATGTTCAACCTGTAGCTATAGGTCAAAATGTTGTTACACGGCTACAAAAGATTGCCTTTAGTTTCTTCTTCGTTTTTTTGAGCAAAAAAAAAACATGTTTTCACTGTCTTGTGGCGAAATAGTTTTCTGAAGTGGGGCAAGGGGGGTTTTCAATAAATTGCACTTTTCTTATTTTTGTTCCACAAAAGTTTTTTTCTTTTTTATGAAGGTAACAGAACAAAATGCAAGGGTAATAAAAAGTAATCATAAAGTAAAAGAGAGACAAACCAGAATCTTGGTTGTAAAAGTCAGCAGACATTTATGCACAAGTTATGCTTGAGCTACAATATATTGAAGAGGAGGGGTGTAGAAATTTGAGGAAATGAACAGGGAGATTTCAGGGCAAATGCTAGACTAAGCGGCTGAAGATAGAATGTTGAAATTTGCCATGCGGGTAAACTATGGTTGGAAAGTTGAGAAAAGGAATTTGTTAAGTCGGACTTAAAGGTAATTAAAAGTGCGAAAATGACACATCACTGGGTTGAAGCAATTAATACGACTTTGCAATGAGGTCATTTGAAATTTTGCGATGAGGTCATACAGGGTTGAATTTTCGTTAGTTTGCTCTTTGACAATAAAAAGTATTCAAAGTAAAGAATCATAGGGTCAAATAAGGAAGGATTTTTAGAAAATCTAATTTTAATGTAAATTAAAGGTACTTAGAGGTACAAAAGCGTTGTTGATAGATCAATAAGAGCAAGAACTACAGTGTGAGATAAAAAAAACTGCAACAAAGTCACACTCCATTTTAAAGTAAAAGTCAAATTCCATTTTATTTATTTTTTTTTTAATTTTATTGAATGAGAGCAAGAAATGTCGGAAATAGCATCAAATTTTAGAATAAGTTTCGATTTGTTAGGATTGGTCACCTTTGGCACGAATTATGGCCTTTAACCGGCTAATGAAACCATCACATGCTGCAGGATGTTGGTCTGCGATATTTTGACCCATTCCCGGCGAAGCGCTTGCTTAAGGTGATCGACACTTTGGTATTTTTTAGTACCAACCTTGCTTTCCAAAATTCTCCAAATCCGGAGATTTTGGTAGCCATTGTGCCACTGTGGAAATGAAGCGAGGAACCTCATTTTGTAACAATTCTTGAGTGGTACGTGCTGAGTGCGATGGTGCTGAGTCCTGTTGGAATGTCCAAGCTTGGCGGCCAAAATGTTTGCGTGCCCAAGGCTTTGATACACCCTCCAGAGTATTTTCGCCATAATATTCGGCATTTATTCTGATGCATTCCTAGAATCCTAAGTCTGTTAATTTCCGAAAAATTTGCGATCGTTTCAAGTTGAATGGCACTAGTCGGAGCGGAGAGCGACCATCGGCGGTTATGGCGGCCCACACCATTACCATCACCGGCGCTTGAGTTCTGGTGGTCAACTGTAGGTGCGTTTTTTCAGCTGACCTATTTGGCAAGTAAACACGAACATTTAGTTTGTTTACAAACTGATGGACAATGAATGTTTTCTTAACGGAGCGGAGAAAACCAAATCCGACAGTTCACCACTTTCGGCCAAGCGAAGCAACTCATTAGCTCTTTTGAGTCTATTTTCTTTCTATTGCGGTGTAAGTTCTTGCATATTTTGGAATTTTAATGGCTTTACCCCGAACTCATTTGCCAGAAGGAATTTTGCGATATGTTCAGCTCGCGAGCCATTTTTCGACCACTGCGGCGCGGGTTTCGATCAAGTTGCTTCTTTACTTTTCGAACCATTTCTGCTGATGTTGCTGTTTTCTTCCGGTCACTTCCTTGACGTTGGACTACGCTACCAGTATCACGGTATCGACTGATGGTACGAGACACAAAAGATTTATTCACATTTAAATGCCGGAATGCTCTAACGATAGCCACTTGTGGTTTTCCAGCTAAATATAGAGAAATCGCACTATCACGCTGGAATTCCATCACGAATAACTTTTTTGTTTGGAAAATTCTCACCAAAATCCTTTTGTACGCTTGTAAACAATATAATGAGCTGTCACTGGAATAATTTTAACAGTTGTCGGATGAGTGGCTTAGAAATGACAGGAATCTGAAGTTGGTTGCAGACCTTGGACATTCCAACAGGACTCAGCACCCAGCACGGGCCACCCCAGAGTGGTTACAAAATAAGGTTCCTCGCTGCATTTCCAGCGCAGAATGGCCACCAAAATCTCCGGATATCAATCCGTTGGACTATTGTGTCTGGAGTATTTTGGAAAGCTCGGAATAGGGCAAAATACCGTAGAGCAACATTCGGGCAGATTGTGAAGGTTTCATTGGCCGTTTGAAGGACATAATTCGCGCCAAAGATGACCAATTCGAACAAATCTAAATCTGTTCTAAAATTTGATGGTATTTCCGACATTTTTTGCTTTCATTTAACAAAATTAAAAAAAAAAAATGTAAAAATTATGGCGTTTGACTTTGTTGCAGTTTTTTTATCTCACCCTGTATATTCTTGATCAGCGATTTAGACAGTCCTTCCGTCCGTCTGTTGTAATCACGCTAAAGTCAAAACGAATAAAGATGGGAAGCTAAAATTTCGCACAGATCAGTCTTTTGTGTTCAGGCAGGTCACGATATCGTATGTCCCCCATATAACGGTACCCCTTGGTATTCGTTATTTTTAAGGATTTTAGGCACATTTTTCAATGAAATTGTCTGAAATTCTACACAAGGTGTTCTTTATGGGTACTTAACCCCCTGGAAGAGATTGGTCCAGAAAGGAACACGATATCGTATATCCCCCGTATAACAGTACGGTATTTTAATGATTGTAGCCATATTTTTCAATAGAAATGCCACACGCGGAGTTCCCTCTGAGTACTTAACCGCCAGGAAGATAATTGTCTATATAGGTCTACGATATCGTATAGCCCCATATAACGGTACCTATGATATTCGGTATTTTGATGACTTTAGCAACATTTTTGTTTTAAATTTCGTATTTAAAGTCGTAATGAGTTCTACAATCTTTGGCAGAAAATTGTCCTTGCAGGTCCATGTCTTCCTATAGCCCACATATAACGGTACCTCCCGATATTCGGTATTTTTATGTTGTTAGCAACATTATTCAACGGAATTGTTTCAAATTTGATAAATTAACGACATTATTCAATGGAATTGTTTGTATTTGTCGGAGTTCGGAGTCGATACTACAGCCTATGACAAAAAATTAGTTATGTAGGTCCACGCCTTCGTATTTAATTTGCGGGGTATTTTTTAAATGATTTTTTTAAATTATTCAGTTCCTTCAAAATGGTGGAGGGTATTAAAAATTCGGCCCGGCTGAATTTAGCTGCTTTTTTACTTGTTCTAAAATGTTTTGTATTGAGAATGGTCACTTTCTTTTATATAAAGGTGCCGTTTGTTTTTCCGGATGCTTTTCTGTCTAGCAAGACCAATTTGGAGAATTATGCTCTATTGTCGTGATACATACAGCTCTCGACTAAAGTTTCACACATTTGGATCAAATTGGAACAAAATATAATTATAATTTGACGAAGTGTTGGTTTTATACACCATGAGATATAAAAAAGTCAAATTTTAGGTCTTGTTTTTAATACCCTACACCACAAGTTGGTCACGGTATTTGTTTGTAACAGGCAAAAGGAAACGAGATAGACCCATAGTTCCTTTTGATGATCTGCATAGAATCACATTCTGAGTCGACTTTTGCATGTCCGACCGTCCGGCCGTCTGTCCATGTATTTTTCTAAACAAAGTTCAGTTCGAATTTATTGCCCTATCCAGATGAAATTTGAGATAATCGGTAAAAATTTAGATATAGCTCCCATATATATCTTCGTCAGATTTGGCTTTTCTTGTACACCAAACGTGTAATATCGACCCGAATAGTATGGAGTTTTGCACATACAACCAAATTAGGCCTGAAAATAAGTATGCCAAATTTGATCGAAATCGGTTCAGATATAGCTATAGCTCCTATATATATTGTTCATCCGATTTGTTATTTTAGTCCCCCGCAGCCTTAATATGCACTCTGTAACAACAATACTTGGGGAAATATAACAAATACAGCTCAGAAATACCTTTGCTAAATTTTATCGAGATCGGTTCAGATTTGGATATATCTCCCACATATAACTTCATCCGATTTACTTTTATTGTGCACCAAACGTCTAATATTTGCCCAAATGAGATGAAATTTGGCACTTACGACCGAATTGAGTCTAGAAGACAGTATATCAAATTTGGTAAAGATCGGTTCAGATATAGTTATAGCTCCCACATATATTGCCCATCCGATTTGTTATATTGGTTACCCACAGCCGTAATATGCACTCCGTAACAACGATATTCAGGGAAATATATGAATTACAGCTTAGAAATACCTTTGCCAAATTTTATCAAGATCGGTTCAGTTTATAAATAAATAAATATATATATATATATATATATATATATATATATATATATATATATATATATATATATATATATATATATATATATATAAAATATGTATTTTTTATAGGCTTCAAATCCTTGATTTCGGAACGTTTGTTTGTTGCTCCGATATTCTCATGATTATCGTTATTGATTTTAAATATTTTTACTTCAAATTCCCACGCCAATCCTCGTTTAAAAGTTATTTTCAAGAACATCTTACCACCATCCAGCCATCCACTCACATACAAGTAGTTCATCTATATTTATGTATGAATTGCGAATGAATAAATATGTTTATGTATCTGTGTGTGTGTGTCGTTAGGTATTCGTAGAAAGAGAACAGTTTTTCCCTTAAATAAATTTTCATACTTTGTGCATAATTTAAAATGTTCATAACATTACTTTTGATTAAAGTTTCTTTTCTTCATCTTCATGGGTCTTGAGATGAAGAAAAGCAAAGGAGAGAGAGGGAGAGGGGGAGAGAGATGGAAAAAACTATGAGAAAAAAAGATGCCCAAGTAAATGTATATTTCAATTTTTATTTCACTTCATTTTACTTTTGTTACCGCTTTTCTTCCACACACTCAGATACTCAGCGAATCCGCCTGTAGACCATGGCAAAGGACCTGGAGTTGTAAATAATCATAACGAGGCCGTAGTCGATGCTACTAGGAGCACAAGTACAAGTACTACCACTAACGACATTGAGGATATTGGCAACGATGAGATGCCGCCACATTTGTTCCGTCCCTTGGAGAGAAAATACAGTGGCAACACCAGGCCCAAGGAGCCACAAACAATAGAGGAGCTGGTACACTATCCGAAGAGAATGCGACGAGATATCTCTTCATCACCGTCGACATCAATGCATGGTAAGTAGAGTAGTTGGCGAAGACGATTTCCACCATCTAGCCACAGAAATATCTTCCATGCGATTGCATGATTCAGTGCATTGGGGGGTGTGGGGGAGAGGGGGAATGAATGATTGCCACAAGGAAACGCTTAAGAAAATATGAATGGAGAATAATTTGAAATTCTAATGATGATGAAAACCGAAAACAAAAGCCAAGCCAAGCCAAGCTGGCAAAGCAATCCAAAGGAAATACCATTAACAATAACTTGAAGGATAAGAAACGCCATCGAAGAAAACCAAGAAGAGGATGATCCAGAGGAACAAAAGCCAGAAAGCTATTGGAAAAACAGACTCTCTCTCTCTGTGTGGATAATATTTGATTTTAAAGATATTCTCGATGAGGTCTTCGATGAAGTTGAAGATGATAATGATGTTGGCGTTGAATGGTACTTACCAAAGGACAATAAATGCAGGACAATTGCACTCACTTAAGAAAATAAAGCCCCAGCAATGCTCGCCGGGAGAAGTAATGAAAAACAAATGTCAACAATGGTTGATGGTTGCAATCAAGCGACAAGACAATCCAAAGTCATTCCCAGGACATTCAGTCATTCATTCCTTCCTCCATTCATGCACTCAGTCATTTATTAATTCATTTATTCAAGTTGTTGATGGAGGTTGAATAATAAAGTAACTGTTTTTTTCAGATCCCTTCATAGAATTCTTTACACCCAATCATCGCAAAGTCCTGGAGGAACAAGACAAGGAGATACGCAAACGTACAGGCCTGAAAGGGGCCGCTCCGGGTGGTGATGAATGGGTGTATTTGAACACCTACTGTAGAGTGCCTGAGAAAATGATAACCGGTTTCTGTCAAAGTACCCAAGAATATTGTCCACCTAGTCCGCCGGGACCGGAAGGGCCTCAGGGTCCAAAGGGCCCCACAGGACCACCCGGATTGCCTGGTATCCCTGGGCCAAAGGGTAATCGTGGTGATGTTGGTTTGCCCGGTCAACCAGGTGCCGCAGGGGCAATGGGTCCCATGGGACCACGTGGACCAAAGGGAGATATTGGTATACCTGGACGACCTGGTTTGGATGGCCGTGACGGTGTTCCGGGAGAACCTGGTCTAGATGGTGTCCCTGGCCGGGCTGGTGCCGATGGTATACCCGGCAAAGATGGTGCAGCTGGACGTGATGGCAAAGATGGCATAAATGGCAAGGATGGTCGTGATGGTGCCCCCGGCCCTAAGGGCTCCCAGGGACCTCCTGGAGAAAGAGGGCTCAAAGGTAAGTTGCAATTGTTTTATCAACAAAGAAAAAAAACAACGGCTGATGCTTTGTGGCCTAAAAGACAAGATTCATTTGCATTTGAAGCACAACACAAAAAAAAAATGGGGCCAACAACAAAACTTTGTGGCAGAAATTAAAATTCGTCTAACAGCAAAAAAAAAAAAAAAAAAAAAAAAAATTGGTCCTTTTTGTTTTTTCTCCCCATTCGCATTTCGTTTTGTTTTTTCATTTCTCTGTATTTTTACATTTGGTGTAACTTTTTTTTTGTTGAAATCCCATAACTAATGACCTCAACCTCGGCATTGCTTAAATGTTAAAAGACATTTTTTTGCCACTAGGGGAGATTTATGGTTTTCAACTTTAAGTCTAAGGCACAGTGGGGTCTGAAGGATTGAAAAAAAAAAAAAAATAAAAATTATTTTTTTAAATTTTGCTTTTTTGAATGAAAAAGGATCTGGCTTGAATGTCTATGACTGTACATCAGTAGAAATCAGCCCAGTATCCGAATACAGTGGAGTAGGTGAATACTATTTTGCTCCAATAAATTTTAAGTCTGTAGACTTTTGGGTTATTGGTTTAAAAATTAGGGGGGGGGGGGGTTCTAAGAGGCTTTCCCATTTAAAAAAAATAATGCAAATTAATATTTAGTATCTCCAAAGGTACGTTTCTGAACATCTCAATTGGTGCCCGAATCCCAAAAGCACTTACAACACCCTATGAAATGTGAAGCGGCCTCTGTATGGTATATTGGAATTCATCATTTCCTGGGGGGTTTAAATTTGCCTTGTGTTAGAAAGTGATGTTTTCCGAAAAGTTTGAAACCAATTCGGTTTTGCAAACTTCATGTGAAAGGCGAAGTCAATGCAAAGGTTTTTATCTATAAATGATCTCTGTAAAAGGTGAGATAAAAAAAAAAAACTGCAACAAAGTCAAACGCCATAATTTTTATTTATTTTTTTGTAAATTTAATTGAATGAAAGCAAAAAGTGTCGGAAATGGTATAACATTTTAAAATAAGTTTAGATTTGTACGAATTGATCACTTTTGGCACGAATTATGCCCTTTAAAAGGCCAATGAAACCGTCACACGCTGCCCAAATATTGCTCTGCGGTATTTTGGCCCATTCCCGACGAGGAGGTGATTGACTCTTTGCTATTTTTCAGTGCCATCCTTGCTTTCCAAAATACCCCAGACACAATAGCCCAATGGATTGGTATCCGGAGATTTTGGTGGTCATTGTGCGCTGGAAATGAAGCAAGGAACCTCGTTTTGTAACCATTCTTGAGTTGCGCGTGCTGAGTGCGATGGTGCTGAGTCCTGTTGGAATGTCCAAGGTCTGCGCACAAAATGTTTGCCTGCCCAAGGGTGTTAATACACCCTCCAGAATATTTTCACGATAATATTCGGCATTTATTCTGTTGCCACGGTCGATTAATACGAGCGGAGAGCGACCATTGGCTGTTATGGCGGCCCACACCATCACCATGGTCGGCGCTTGAGTTCTGGTGACCAACCGAAGGTGCACATTTTCAGCTGACCTCTTTGGCAAGTAAACACGATCACTGTGTTATTTTTTTTTTACTAACTGCTGGACAACGAATGTTTTTTGTCATCGGAGAAAACCATTTTCGGCAGTTCACCACTTTAGGCCAAGCGAAGCAACTCATTAGCTCTTTTGAGTCTACTTTCTTTCTGTTGCGGTGTAAGTTCTTGTAATTTTTGCAATTTCATGGGAATGGCTTTACCCCGATCTAATTTTTTAATATTTGCGAATGGAATATAAACGAATGTTTTCTCATCGGAGACGGAGAAAACCAAATTCGGCAGTTCTCCACTTTCGGCCAAGCGAAGCAACTCTTTAGCTCTTTTGAGTCTATTTTCTTTCTGTTGCGGTGTAAGTTCTTGGACTTTTTGGAATTTCAATGGCTTAACCCGAGCTCATTTTTTAATATTTGCCGAATGGAATATAAACGAATGCTTTCTCATTGGATAAAACCAAATTCGGCAGTTCACCACTTTCGGCTAAGCGAAGCAATTCTTTAACTCTTTTGAGAAGAAGTTCTTGCAGTTTTTGGAATTTCAATGGTAAAGCCAAGCCAAACCGAGCTCATTTTTCAATATTTGCCGAATGGAATATTGCGATATGTTCAGCACACAAGCCATTTTTCGGCCACTGCGACGTGGTTTTCGATCAAGTCGCTTCTTTACTTTTCGAACCATTTCTGCTGATGTTGCTGTTTTCTTCCGTCCACTTCCTTAACGTCAGGCTATGCTACCAGTGGTGGTGCGAGACACAAAAGATTTATTCACATTTAAATGCTGGAGTGCTCTATCGATAGCCACTTGTGATTTTCCAGCCAAATATAAAGAAATCACACTATCACGCTTGAATTCCATCACGAATAACTTTTTTCTGCAAAATTCTCACCAAAATACTTTTGTACGCTTGTAAACAATATAATGAGCTGTCACTGAAAAAATTTAAGCAGCTGTTGGATGAGTGGCTTATAAATGATAGCAGTCTGAAGTTGGTTGCAGTTTTTTTCATCTCAGCCTATATATATATATACTTTGTGGGGTCTATTATTTATATTTCGAGGTGTTACAAACGGAAAGACGAACTTAATATAGCCTCCATACTACGGTGCAGGGTAAAAAAAATGTAAAGTGAGTTGCATATTTCCTTCAAACTTGGGACATGTCAAAATTTCTCCCAATACTAGATCCAGTTTGAAGATGGAAAATTCCAATCCACTCTATTCATAATAATGGTCTTATAAAAAGACTCTAGCTTTAAGGCATTGAAATGCTTCCGAATCGTAATTTTTCTAACAAAATTAATCATCTTTCTCTTTTCTAAAAAACATAGAATTTTCAGTAAAAATTGTAAGGTATTCAATGTTCTTCAAGTTCTTGACCTCTTCGTCAATTTTTTCCTCCCTACTTCTGTGTTTAAAAAAAACTCTTCATTAAATTTTATGGGGGAAAAAGTAAGTTCCCGTAACATATTCAAAACGTATGCAAAGAAAACTGGTACAGGGTACGGAATTGTAAACAAACACACAGGCAGCATCAACAAAGTAGGAACACCCCTCCCCCCCATTATCTCTACATAGCTTACATCCTTATAGTGGAGTAGCATTAGAATGCTAGTTCTCCACCTCCTCTCTCTCTTAAACACTGTTTGTATCCACCAAATACCACAAGGAAGTTGGTTCATGATGGCTTGCTATGCAAAACACGGTTCAATATTGAAAACAACAAAAAAAAAGAAGAAAAGAAATCGGAAAAAAAAAACTTCCATCCAATTCCTTGAAGGACCAACTTCTCGATTATTTGCATTTAAGGCCAATAGACATACATACATACACACATACAAATATCCCCCATACTCCGTGGCTGTTTACAAAGAAAACGACCCTCACATCCAGAGGAGCTTTTCTAAATACCCGACAAACGTTTGCCTTGTGAATATTTTGTCAAAATCGGAAGGAAGGAAGAAATGGTAGAACAGCAGTTACTTTGGTTGCACTGCAACCAACCAATATCATGACATTACACGAACTGTTACTACTCCTTGAACTGGTCTTGCTTTCTTTTTTTCCTAACTGGAGTCTTGGTTGAGCAGTTAAGGGAAAGCAAAGCAAAAAATGGAAAACAATTTTTTCACTTGAATTACAATTAAGATTGCCCTGGCATGCTAGTTGGTCCTGAAACTCATGGTAGCCAGGAATCTGGCAGTGGCCGTTTACTGCATGTTTTGTGTTGATTTTTTTATTGACTCTCCCTCTCTCTCTCTCCGGCTCCCTTCCTGATTTGCTAAGAACTTCCATGGCATGGCATGGCTGGTAGTTGATGGATCGTGATTAATAGTGGCATGATTAATGGTAAAAGCCAATGTGGTTACCATTATAAATGAATTTTTGCAACAGTTATGTTATTTTAATGGACACGAATGGGCGTCGTCTAGGGGATAACATAGAAAGGCAGAAGTGGAGAAAAAACGCTAGAAGTGTTAGCAAACGGAATCCTCGCATTGCATGAATGAAAATGCCACACAAAGCACAAAAATAATCTTTGAAAAGTTGTTTTTTTCTTCGTTCCTTCTTTTTCTCCCTTGATGGAAGTTTACTAATGTTTTTTTCGTTTGCATCTCTTTCTCTCCTCCTTTGTTTTGTATCGACCAGGCATTGCTGGACCTCGTGGCCGACCAGGCAAACCAGGCACAAATGGCACACCGGGCACCCCCGGTGTAAGTGCCTACAAGGTACAATTGAAGAATGGCACATACTTGAATGATTTACTGATACCCCCATCAATTGCAGGTAAGTGAAAAGTTAGAAAAAAATCTATTGGTTCTTGATTTAAATTGATTTGTATTTTATTGGAAAAACATGGAAAGTTTGAGGAGGTGAACGTATTTTTGGCACAAAGAAACATTTAATTATTTTTGATAACACTACGTAACTGAAAATATAATTATAGGAAAACTTCAGTAGATGATGAAAGGAGAGTTAAAAATAGAAAACACCTTTGGCGGCTTTTTAAAAGTGCATTTAATCAAGAGGCCCAAAATCTTCCCTCTCCCACACCTCAGAAATTTTCGGATTTAGATTTTTTGGAATATTTGCCTTTTAATATTATTAAAATCAATATTTGGAATATTTTGGTCGAATATTTTAATTCTGTAGTGAGTCACCCAAGGGGTGACCATTTGGTACAAATTTGGCAATTTAAAAAAAAAAATAATAAATAAATAAAATCCGTTAAAAATTCTGTTAAAATCTTAAAAATACCGAATGTAGCTGTCATATTAGGGTCTATACGACGACATGAACCTGCATAGGTTCATAGGTCATAAGCCATTACAATATTCAAATGCGAAACTTCAAAAAAATCGGTAATAATGTAGAAAAATCATCAAAATAACGAATAAAGGGAGGTACCATGTGGGTTATAAAACGTGGACCTGCACAGACAATTTTCTGTCATAGGCTGTTGTATTCATTACAAACTTTAAATACCAAATTTGAAAAAATTCCGGTAAATAATGTCGCTAGAATCATCAAAATACCGCATATCGGGAGGTACCATTATATAAGGGCTATGCGAAGACGTGGACCTACATGGCCCATCTTCAATACCAAAAGTCCTGCAGACATTATAAACATTTGAGTAAAATTTTATCAACCTACTTTATTTCATTCGGAAGCTAGAGTGATTTTCACAGACGGATAGACTGACAGACGGACGGACGGACATAGAATTTTATGCTGATCAAGAATGTATATACTTTGTGAGGTCTAAAATTTATATTTCGAGGTGTTACAAATGGAAAGACAAACTTAATATACCCTCCATACTGTGGTGGAGGGTACAAAAATTAATGAAAATGAATAATAAAAAACACATTTTAGAGCTAAAACGGTACTTCTTGTGAATTTATGCCGAATTCTCCTACATAACATAATTTTAAAAGGAGGATGATAAAGACAAAAATATACATTTTTTGTAAAATGTCACTATAAGTCACAAAGGAAAAGAAATCTCTATTTCCATTGTTTACAAAAAAAGAATATTGACATAAATATTCCAAGAAAACATCCAAAATTATTCCCTGATTTTTTGATCAATTTTTCCGCGGACTTGTTTCGAGTTAACGCCTGAAAGTCATATAAAATTTCGTTCTAGGCGAAAAATGTTAAAAGGAGAAATATTCTACACAAAATTTCGTTATAAATTGCAGAAATATTTTTGAAGATTACACATTCAAAATTATTTGACTAAAAGTGAAAATTATGTGTTTGCTTTGTATGCCCGCATCAATGCAGGGTGATATAAAAAACTGCAACAAAGTCAAATGCCATATTTTTAATTTTTTTATTTCAATTTTATTGAATGAAAGCAAAAAATGTCGGAAAAAGCGTCAAATTTTAGAATACGTTTAGATATATTCGAATTGGTCAACTTTGACACGAATTATGGCCTTCAAACGGGCAATGAAACCGTCACACGCTGCCCAAATGTTGCTTTGCGGTATTTTGGCTCATTCACGGCGAAGCGCTTGCTTGAGGTGATCGACACCTTTGTATTTTTTTAGTGCCATCCTTGTTTTCCAAAATACTCCAGACACAACGGATTGGTATCCGGAGATTTTGGTGGCCATTGGGCGCAGGAAATGAAGCGAGGAGCCTCATTTTGTAACCATTCATGGGTGGCGCGTGCTGAGTGTTATGGTGCTGAGTCCTGTTGGAATGTCCAAGGTCTGCGGCCAAAATGTTTGCCTGCAAAAGGCTTTAATACACCCTCCATAATATTTTCGTGATAATATTTAGAATTTATTTTGATGCCACGGTCGATTAATACGTTCTGTTATATGCAATTGATGGGAGTATCAGTATGGCCGGCGCTTGAGTTCTGATGGCCAACGGAAGGTGCATATTTTCAGCTGACATTTTCAGCCATTTTTCGGGCACTTCCTTGACGGGCTTGGACTACGCTACCAGTATCACGGTAAAGAGCGATGGTACGAGACACGAAGGATTTATTCACATTTAAATGCTGGAGTACTCTAACCACTTGTGGTTTTCCAGCCAATTATGAAGAAATCACACTATCACGTTTGAATTCCATCACCAATAAGTTTTTTATTCTGGAAAATTCTCACCAAATTGCTTGTGTACGCTTTTAAATAATGAGCTGTTATTGGAATAATTTTAATAGCTGTTGGACGAGTGGCTTAGAAATGACAGAAGTCTGAAACTGGTTGTAGTTTTTTCATCTCACCCTGTAGAATCCAAAGAACTTTTTATGGAAGAACACCAAGTGTTTTTTGTTTTAAAGTCCAGACCTTTTTCTCCTTAGAATAAAGGGCTTTTATTTTCCAAAGCCTGTTTCTTTTACAATCCTTTTCTCTAGAAGACCAAGAGGTGTGGCTACTTTTTGATGGAAAAATACTCTTTAACTTGTTCACCACCTAAATGGCGGCCAACTTTCCGAAAATTTTTACCTTAGGATTCATTGTGGTGCTTTTTCCACATGGCGCCCAACGTAATTCAATTACGATTTACCCAAAAGTTACAAATTTAGAGTTGGCCTTTACTGTTGATAAGGCCAACTTTTGATAGAAATTTACTTTCCCACGCCCAAAGATTCGACAATATTTGGTCGATTTCGTTTACAAGTTTATTTAATTTCTGCACTTTTGATTGTTAAAAAAATCTCAAAACGGCGCCCAACCCAAAAAAAGCAAGTAAAAAGATGTAAGTTCAGACGTGCCGAACTTTGAATACCCTCCTCCACCATTTGGTACGAATTTGGCAATTCTCAAAAACAATAAAATCCATTAAAAATGCTGTAAAAATCTTAAAAATACCGAATGTAGCTGTTATATTAGGGTCTATATACGACGACATGGACCTGCATAGGTAACATTTGTCATAAGCCATTACAATATTCAAATGCAAAACTTCAAAAAAATCGGCGATAATGTAGAAAAAATCATCAAAATACCGAATATCGGGAGATACCGTTATGTGGGGGCTATACGAAGACGTGGACCTGCAGAGACAATTTTTTGTCATAGGCTGCAGCATCCATTGCGAACCTCAAATACCAAATTTCAAACAATTCCGGTGAATAAATTCGCTAAAATCATCAAAATACCGAATATCCGGAGGTACCGTTATATGGGGGCTATTCGAAGACGTGGACCTGCATAGACAATTTTCTGTCTTAGACTTTAGTATCCATTACGAAATTCAAATACCAAATTTGAAACAATTCCGGCGAAAAATGTCGCTAAAATCATCAAAATACAGAATATCGGGAGGTCCCTTTAGGGGGGGACTATACGAAGACGTGGACCTACACAGATAATTGTCTGTCTTAGGCTGTGTATTCATTACGAATTGTGGGCTATAACAAAATGTGGACCTACATGGCCCATGTTCAATTCCAAAAGTCCTGCAGAATCGACATAGAATTTTATGCTGATCAAAAATATGTATCTTTGTAGGGTCTAAAATGTGTATTTCGTGGTGTTAAAAACAGAATGACAAACTTAATATACCCTCTATACTATGGTGGAGGGTATAAAAAAACATAAATAAATAAAAATAGTGATTTAGTATCCAGTCCCTTCCTGTTGTGTGGAAACCACCGAACCTTTCACCAGGAATTCAGGGAATAAAATATCCCAAATCCTGTATTCGCACGTCTTACTAACAGAAACTCATAGCTTTAAACCCACTTTTTGTCCCAAAAATCTCCATCTCCATTAAATTTCAATTTTTCATGGGTTTTTCTTTTTTCCAAAAATGCATTCAACTCCATGCCATGCCATTTGAGAGCAGTTCCATTAATAATAAAACGAATCCATGCATATGCAAGGACACATACATTTTTTCTGTTTCTGTTGTCCGAGTATATCCTTTAACCATTGTTGCCTCCTTTGTTTATTTGCCAATTGGTCGGTCTGCCTGGTTTGGCTGTCTTTTGTCGTTTCTTTCCAGATATAAATATGCCGCGTTCCATAGCCGTCGAAGAGGGAAAAACATTAAACGTAAGCTGTGCCGCCAGCGGTAATCCAATGCCTCACATCGAATGGCGACGAGATGACGGTCGAACGATTAATGTTCATGGCGTTGAGAGTAAGGATTTCTTTTTGATGCAGCTTCTTTTTTTCTCCTCTCCATTTCCCATTTTATAAAACGCACAAAATGTATGCAAAAGGATTTATAATGGTTTGGTTATTGTTTCCGTTTTCTTTTGGTTCGGTTTTTTTTTTGGTGCTGCATGGTTCCTGCAATGCTGCTTTCCTGTTTGCCGTATTGTTTGACCCGGGGCTCTTTATCGCTGGCTCACATCACAGTGTCATCCATAAGTGGACCATATCTGAAATTCACCAATATTACCCGACATCAAATGGCCTCGTATACATGCTATGCCGACAATGGCTTAGCACCAGTGGCCAATGCAACATTTTTAATCGAAGTCCAATGTAAGTATTCTTGTTGGGCAGAGGGAGGAAGGGAGGGAGGGATTTCTGAGTTTTGGTAGGGGTTAATGGTTTGATTGCTGTATGACAGGTTTTTTTCTTCTTCTTTTTAACATTTCTTGTTTACAGTTCCGCCCATGATATCGGTCTATAGGCAAATGATTTATGCCGAGTATGGACGTTCGGCCACAATGGAATGCATTGTGGAGGCATTCCCCGAGGCCATACTGTACTGGGAGAGAGCCTACGATGGCAGTATATTGGATCGAGGTGACAAATATCGCATTGAGACTAATCCAGATGGGTAAGTGAATGAATGACATTTGAATGATGTCGCCATTCATGATGATAATAATGATGAAGATGATCATAATGGTCTTTGGCACTTCAACACATTCACATACTAACTAATATTTCTTCCTCTTTTCCTTTTTTTCATTTTGTATCGTCTCTCTGCAGCTATCGCACAACAATGCGTCTGACAATTACCTCCCTGCGTAAGGACGATTTCGGCTACTATCACTGTGTGGCAAGGAATGCACTCAATACCACAATGGTTAATTTTGAAATTGCACGTAAGTTTTGAATGGAGAAGGGGAAAGGGGGGTGGTGTTCTAGGAGGGGGTTTGTTATAATGAATATTGATTGAAAGTGGTTGAATGAATGTAGAAATGATGGGTGACATAAGTTGAAGCAAATGCAAAAAAACATCGAAGGACATAAATGAAATGGACATCAAGAGTATGTTGGGTAAGTGACAATGGACAGCTTGTGTGACAAATTGACAGCTAAACAGACATACCAAATGACAGAGTTAGGAGCTGTTAAGATTTATGATGATGATAATGCTGGACTGGGGTGTAGTTGGACGAATGCACATGCAGAAGTTTATTGCGTTTAATTTTGTGGAAAATATATTCTTAAAGACCTGTCTAAATATAAGGAAATATCAGAAGACCTTGAATAAGTCATCTTTAGACCGGATACCCTACTAAAGTATTTTTTTAAAGGAAAGTCTTTCAGAGGTATGAACGGCCTTCAAAACATTTTCTAAGAAAGGCGGATATATACCTTCCGCATTTATAATAATTTACCATGGAGACCATTAAGTTTTTTTTTAATGGAGAGTATAAAATCTAGAAGCATTCTAACAAAAGAATTCTAAAATTCTTAATGAATATAACTCCAGTTTCAATCACAGATCATGTTAATACTGAGGGCACATAAACTTCTTGTGTCTTTCGTTTAGAAAACTTGAAAAATATCCCTAAAAACGATTTGATAAGCCCGGTCCTACAAAAAGTTTCTTTTCTAAAAAAAGTATTTTGAATATCAACCCTGAAAATAAAAATCATGAAAAAGTAATTTTATTATCCTCTTGGTCCTTTTACTCCATGAATAATTAAATTTTTTTAGATGTATAAAATGTACGTTTTTTAAGAAAAAACTATTTTAATCAAAATCCACGTTAATTGGACTGACTTTAAAGAATATTCTAAAGAGAAACCACGTCTATTAGTCCCTGAAAACAATTAAAAAATTCTCAAAATAAAAAAAACAAGAATTTCAAAAATGTAAAAAAAAATCCGCTTAAATGAAATCCGATATATAGGGGCTATAGGGTCTATCACGAGTATTTCGAGGAGTTACAAACGGAATAACAAAGTTAACATACTTTCCATAGAATCGTTTAGACCTCTACTGTACATCTCAAAACATTCATAAACAATGCCGACCTACGTAAAATAAAGATACTAAATCTAATATATGAAGTATATTGAAGAGTTTTGAAAGAGATTAAATTAGTCAATGTAGTTACAATTTGAGGCGGGTACAAGAAGGAGTGGATCGATAAGTCCCATAATCACACCTGAACTAATGATGGTGGAGGTATAGATAGAATTGTTCGAAGTTGAAAGAAAAAGTGGTAAACTATTTCGATGACACATATTTTAGTCTTTTCAAATTATACGCTTATAGCTCTGATGGCCCTTAAAAAAATGTTTTTCAAGAAGTCCACATTCATTGGTCGGATAGACGTTTTAAAATATCCTTTACAAATTCACGTTTACAGAAATTTTGGTCTATAAAAAATAATTTAAAAAATAACACTTTCTATTGGTTCTGAGAAAATATTCGAAAAAATTCTAATTGCTTATTGAAGAAATATTCCTAAAAATCAAAGTTTACAGGCTTGGAGAAAAAACCCACGTTTATTGGTCTGATGATGTTTATGTATAAAACTGAGATATTCTCTTAATATATGATAACTTCTATAGGCATTGCCGGTATATGGACAGGAGATCTTTAGAGAATATTGTATGGTTTTTCTATATATACACAGAAGTTCTTTCTTTCTTAGAAGACGATAGGTCGTTTGCAGACAGAGAGGAGTCATGTTCCAACTCTTCAAGACTTGCTACAAGATATCTGCGATAGTTCTTTTAGAACGATAGTTTCTGCCACATATCTTGTAGGCAAAAGACTTTAACCAGACAAACGAGTTACGCCTTCTATAGACAAAGTCCAGCCAGGAGCAGGAGTTCTTTCACAGGGTTTCAGTGGGCTGGCCGGCCTGCTGTAGACAGATGATTTTTAACGGATCTTCTATAACTGAAGATAATACAGATATTCTATAGAAAGAAACGACAGAAGCCTTTCAACGGGTGTGGACAGAAGCCATTCGACGGGTCTAAATCTTAAATGTCTTATAGAAACAGAGGTTTTTATACAAGTTTTCAATAGATAGAACTCCTTCTAAATGCAGAAGTTCTTCTTTAAATCTTTTGTAAACATAAGCTTTTATATACGTCTTCTATAGAAAGGGATCCTTCTACAGGTCTTCTGCAGACATGAGCTCTATTGCAGGTATTTTGGGCAGAAGACATTCTACAGGTCTTCGTTAGACAAAGATTTTGTTGCAGGTCACCTAGAAAATAAAATAAATAAGTTCATAAATTCGATATTCTACACTTTCCTGGTCTTCTATAGATAGACATTCGTCTAAAGGCCTTTTATATAGACATTTTTCAGGTCATATTCGAAGGGCCTTCGGTAAATGTTCTAGGTTCTAGATCTTCTGGAAACGAGAGTCGTTGTTGTTTTTTTCCCCCAAATGAATGACTTTCATAGGTTTAAAACAATCGCAAGACCTTACATTAGCCTTATTAACATGATAGGCCTTCCGAGAATCTATGTAGAAGAATTTAAGGTTTTCTAAGACTGAAGGAACATGTTACTATAGAAATATTTCTAGCATAGACAGAAGAGAGTTTATATGGTCCTCAATCTAATTTTTTTCTATTCCCCACCTTTGTATAAAGGGGTATATTAAGTTTGTCATTCCGTTTGTAACACCTTCAAGTATACACACAAAAGAATATATTTTTTGGTTTGCATAAATTCTATTTAGTTATGTCCGTCTTTGGAAATCACTTTAGGTTAGGAAATCACACTAGGTTGATAACATTTTACTCAGATGTGTTTTAGGTCTGTTTTACCATACCGGCGGATTTAAGGTTTTTTTAGTCACAATTTCATACCGAATTCGCTGTAAATTAGAAGTATGTGTTCCCAGTGTATACGAAACATCCATGCAGGGAACTGTACATATAGTCTCAAGTTTAGGTATATGACTCACATGGCTATATCTCCAGATATTCGTTATTTTGATGATATGTATATCAGTTTTTTTCCACCGGAGTATTACTTCCAATGACAGACAATTTCCTGTACAGCTATACAAAGCTCCCATATAACGGTACCTCCGAATATTCTGTATTTTGACTAAAGTATCCACATATTTGAACAGAATTATCTCAAACTTGGTATTTGCATTACATAACAGACAGGAAACTGGCTGTAAGGTCCACGGTTTAATGTAGGCCCTATATAACCATACCTCCCCATATTCGGGGTTTTGACGCCTTTCACCAGAATTATAACAAATACACAATTGGAAGTTAGCAGTGGGCACTGCTTACTATGAGAGAAAATTGCCCACACAGATGCCCTTTTTCGTTTAGCTCCCATATAACAGTATCACTCCATATTCGTCATTTTGATGACTTTAGCTATATTTTTCAACAGAATTATCTTAAACTTGGTAAACTTTGGCAGATAATTGGCTATAAAGGTACACGTTTGCGTATAGCCCCATATAACCGTGACACCTTATAGCGACATTTGTCAACGGAATTTTAATACATTTAACAAGTTCCTTCAAAATGGTCGACTGTATTAAAAGTTCGGTCCGGCCGCGCTTAGCTACTTGTATTTTTTTATTTATTTGGTTTAACTAAGGATCTTAGTTCAGAGCCATAATTCGACCATTTTTTAACGAATTTTTGTTCATAAAAATTGAAGAGGAGGATATTGAAAACTTTTTTTAACAGGTCAGCTCTACGTGCAAAAAGCTCTACGCTCTCTAAAAAATAATAATAAATAAATAGAAAACATTTTTGGCGAACCATATACTTCTTCATCTGTAGACATAAGACAATTCCGGGTATTCTGGGAACGAAAAACTCTTGTGTAGCCCATAGAAATAGACGAACTTCACAGATCTTCAACAAATGGAAACTCATTTATGAATCTACAACATATAGAAGTCCTTTCATTGATTTCTGTAGAAAGAGTATTATTTGCCGGTTTTCTATGGGGAGAATATTTTTGAGTGTAGACATTTTAAAGGTGTTTCGTAGACTTTAGAAGTATATGCTAAAAACTATCCATAAATGAATGATCCATATGAAAAAGGCTTTCCTTAGGCCTTCTACCGAAAAACTGTATTATCTATCACAATCTACTTTTAGAAACATTTAGATATCTTAAATATAATTTTTTGTTCTGTTTTTTTTTTTTTTTTTGGTATTAGAACCCATAACAACTTTCTGTTATCTTCTGGGGACAAATGACCCTCAGGTTGTGTGCCTTAAAAAATTGTCAATTAAATTTCAATATATGTCAATTTTTATTTTTTTACAGCTCAAGATCCCAATAGCGAGACACCCTATGTTGGCAAGGAAATGAAAACATATGGTCAACGACCGCCAGAACAAGAATGTCCTGTTTGTCCAGAATGTCCTGAGCAAAGGTGAGCTAAACGATAGCTTTAATAATAATTACCCTTAAAACCATATACACATTCTTATGCCGCGCGATAGGGAAAGTTTTTTTTTTTAATTATCAAAGATTTTAAATTTTTTTTTGAAAAAAAAAAAAAAAAACATTAGCATACCAATTCCAATTTAGGTTACCCAGATCAAAATGTTAATCTATGTTCTGCTAGATTCATAATTTCGTATTATTATCAATTCTTATTCCAATTTCATCTTCCAAGAAAATCTCTATTTTTTGCTGTATATCGATAACATTGAAATATTTTCAATTTCTTGTAATTGTTGTGTTATTTATAAATTCCCGATTAAATTAATTGGAAATAATTAATTTTTGGATTAATTATTCGACATAATATTGTATATCCATTTCATTAATCTTCTTTCAAAATATTAGTTTGCAAATTATTTAAATTTCACGCCATTGTTAATTCATGGAATTTCCTCAGACCCTTAGTCGATGCTGCCTCTGCCACTGCCGCTGCCTTCTGTTCTGCCATCAGAAAACTATTAAGAGAAACACATTAATTCAATTAATACTTCTGACAGCGTCTTTGTCTTTCGATTGTTATTGCCCGATGCTGTGGCTGCTGTTGCCATCAACCGAGACGATTGTTGTTTTTTGTGGCTGATTTTTATTTCTGGCTAAAACTTTACCAATCAATTGTCAAAATAAAAGGCAAATAAATGATAGAAAATGACGAAGAAAGACGGAAGTGTGGCTGAGGCGAACGTATAGCTAAGGTTCTAGGGAAGGGGGTGGGGGATACATTGGCGTAGTAAGTCTTTTAAGAGTGGGGGTTGGATATGCTTCCCTACACATTGTGGCATAAAATACATTTTGGTACTGTTTGTGACCAACCCTCCATCCACACTTTAAGTTTTATGACTAAAGTTTCAAATATTTACAAAATTATCCTTTTATGGTCTTTGCAAGTGGTAAGCATTTTCTGTGTTTACCTTCAGAAAAATTGAGATTTGACATTTACAGGGTGAGATTAAAAAAATGCAAACAACTTCAGACTGCTATCATTTTTAAGCCACTCGTCCGACAGCTGTTAAAATTATTCCAGTGACAGCTCATTATATTACAAGCGTACAAAAGCATTTTGGTGAGAATTTTCTAGAAAAAAAGTTGTTCGTGATGGAATTCATGCGTGATCGTGTGATTGCTTTATATTTGGCTGGAAAACCACAAGTGGCTATCGTTAGAGCTCTCCAGCATATAAATGTGAATAAATCTTTTGTGTTTCGTACCATCGCTCGTTACCACAGATCTTCTATAGACAGAAGACCTTCCACAGGTCTTCTATAGATAGAAGACATTCCACGGGTCTTCTATAGACAGAAGATTTTCTATTGATCTTCTATAGACATAAGACTTTCCGCAAATCTTCTATAGATAGAAGACTTTCCGGACACTAGACAGAAGACCATCTGTAGACAGACGACCTTATACAGGCATTCTATGGACAAAATACCTTCAATAGGTCTTCTATAGACAGAAGACCATCAACAGGTCTTCTATAGACAGAAGACCTTTAACTTCCACATGTCTTTTATAGACTACAGACCTTCCATAAATCGTCTACAGACAGAATATTTTCCAAATATCTTACATAGGCACCTTCTGTAAATCAAAGATCTACCACAGGTCATCTATAGGCAGAGCACCCTACACAGGTCTTCTATGGATAGAAGAAGACCCTCCACAGGTATTCTATAAATAGAAGACCCTCCACAGGTATTCTATGGATAGGAGACTTTCCTCAGGTCTGCTTTGGATAGAAGACCTTCCATAGTTCTTCTGTAGATAGAAGACCATCTTAAGGTTTTTCAGAGACAGAAAACCTTCGGCAGGTCTTCTATGGATAGAAGACCTTCCATAGGTCTCCCAGAGACAGGAGACCCTCCACAGGTCATTCAGAGACAGAAGACCTTCCACATTCTTCTAGAGAAAAAAGACTTTTCATAGGTGAGTTCAAGCGTGATAGTGTGATTTCTTTATATTTTTGGCTGGAAAACCACAAGTGGCTATTTTTAGAGCACTTCAGCATTTAAATGTGAATAAATCCTTTGTGTCTCGTACCATCGCTCATTACCGTGGTACTGGTAGCGTAGCCCGACATATGTCAAGGAAATGGACGACGGAAAACTGCAACATCACCAGAAATTGTTCGGAAAGTAAAGAAGCAACTTGATCGAAACCCGCGTCACAGTGCCCGAAAAATGGCTCGTGAGCTGAACATATCGCAGTATTCCATTCGGCAAATATTGAAAAATTAGCTCGGAGTAAAGCCATTGAAATTCCAAAAAGTGCAAGAACTTACACCGCAAAAGAAAGAAAATAGACTCAAAAGAGTTTAAGAGTTGCTTCGTTTGGCCGAAAGTGGTGAACTGCCGAATTTGGTTTTCTCCGATGAGAAACCATTCGTTGTCCAGTAGTTTGTAAACAAACAAAATGATAGTGTTTACTTGCCAAAGAGGTCAGCTGAAAATGTGCACCTTCGGTTGGCCACCAGAACTCAATCCTCAAGCCGGCTATGGTGATGGTGTGGGCCGCCATAACAGCCGATGGTCGTTCTCTGCTCGTATTAATCTAACGTGGCATCAGAATAAATGCTAAATATTATTGCGAAAATATTCTGGAGGGTGTATTAAAGTCTTGGGCACACAAACATTTTGGCCACAGACCTTGGACATTCCAACAGGACTCAGCATCATCGCACTCAGCACGCGCCACCCAAGAATGGTTACAAAATGAGGCACCTCGCTTCATTTTCAGCGCACAATGGCCACCAAAATCTCCGGATACTAATCCGTTGGACCATTGTGTCTGGAGTATTTTGGAAAGCAAGGTTGGGACTAAAAAATACCATTGTCGATCACCTCAAGCAAGCGCTTCGCCGGGAATGGGCCAAAATGCCACAGAGTAGCAATTAGACAGCGTGTGACGGTTTTATTGGCCGTTTGAAGGCCATAATTCGTGCCAAAGGTGACCAATTCGAACAAATTTAAAATTATTCTAAAATTTGATGCCATTTCCGAAATTTTTTGCTTTCATTCAATAAAATTTTAAAAAAAAAAATGTAAAAATTATGGCGTTTGACTTTGTTGCAGTTTTTTATCTCACCCTGTATTTTAAAATAACAGCTTTACCCCATAAGAACCATAGGAATTTCCCCGGCCTTATTTCACCAGCTACGTCACTGATTTCTTCTTTACAAAAAATAAGCTCAAATTTATCCCAGCTGTCATGATTGTGCTGTATTAATGTCAGATTGCGTGTGTTTGTAATTTTTTTTCCTGTTCTGTTCTCTTTGCAGTTTATATCAATGTAAGGATTCGATTAATTCCAATTTCGAAATTCAACCAGTTGGAAACGATAGTTATCCCGGCCTGCCCAAACGCAAGAAGAGTAAGTATGAGTTGGCAAAATCAAAATATCTCTTTTCCTATTAACACAAGCAAATGTACACTCACACACACACGCTCACACCCATACACATACCACGAAAAGGTCCATCCCAAGAAATCCAGCAAACGTACAAATGTGAATCGGTGTGTGTGTGTGTTTGTAGGTTTGTTTATTTGAGAAACTGTCTGTGTGATTGCAAAATCCCTTGGCTTAGATGTCATAAAACACAGAAAACTTTTAATTGAATTCTAAGCCTACTGACAAAGGAACCCGGCATTCGAGTTCCAAGGCTGTTTGTACGGCTGCTGCAAGCTGTAAAGGCGGCGGCATTATCCTTTAACGTAGTTGTAGTCGTCGTCATTGCCATCGCCATCGCCATCGCCATCATGCAAACGCCCAAAGAGTCAGAGACATTTGAGCCTAACGTGCCACTAATTAGGTTTAGAAATTCTAATAAACAGCTATCTGGGTTTGGGTGTATACATGTTTGTGTGTGTGTCTACAAAGCTCTGGTGTCGTGCTAACTGTGAACCTATGGGGGTCATTGTGTTGGTCTCAAAATTATATGAGACAGTCAATGGAGAAAAGGAAAAGGAAGAGAGTTTTCTTGCCGATTATATAAAACACTTTTCCAAAAAACAAGTTAAAAAGCAGTAAGTTCGACCGGGCCGAACTTTGAATACCCTCCACCATTTGGAATGAATTTGGAGATTTTCAAAAAATAAAATCCTTAAAAAATTCTGTTAAAATTTTAAAAATACCGAATATAACCGTTATATTGGGGTCTCAACGACGTGGACCTACATAGGCATTGTTTGTCATAAGCCATTACCATATTCAAATTTGAAACATGAAATAAACGGTGAATAATGTAGCTAAAATCATCAAAATATAAATATATAGGGAGGTACCGTTATATCGGAGCAGTGCGAAGACCTGGACCAGCATAGACAATTTTCTGTCCATTACGAACGTCAAATACGACATTTTTTTAATTTTATTGAATGAAAGCTAAAAATGTCAGAAAAAGCATCAAATTTTAGAAAAAGTTTAGATTGGTTCGTAGTGGTCTCCTTTGGCACAAATTATGGCCTTCAAACGGCCAATGAAACCGTCACACGTTGCCAGAATGTTGCTCTGCGGTATTTTGGCCCATTCCCGGCGAAGCGCTTGCTTGAGGTTGTGGTTTGTGACAATCTTGCTTTCCAAAATACTCCAGACACAATAGTCCAACGGATTGGTATCCGGAGATTTTGGTGGTCATTGTGCGCTGGAAATGAAGCGAGGAAGCTTATTTTGGCGATGGTGCTGTTTACAAACTGCTGGACAACGAATGTTTTCTCAGTGGAGCGGAGAAACCCAAATTCGGCAGTTCACCACTTTCGGCCAAGCGAAACAACTCTTTAGCTCTTTTGAGTCTATTTTCTTTCTGTTGCGGTGTGAGTTCTGGCACTTTTTGGAATTTCAATGGTTTTTCCCAAGCTCATTTTTCAATATTTGCCGAATGGAATATTGCGATACTTTCAGCTAACGAGCCATTTTTCGGCCACTAAGCCGAGGGTTTCGATCAAATCGCTTTTTTACTTTTCAAACCATTTCAACTGATGTTGCTGTTTTCTTCCGTCCACTTCTTTGACATATGTCGGGCTACGCTACCAGTATCACGGTAACGACGGTACAAGACACAAAAGATTTATTCACATTTAAATGCTGGAGTGCTCTAACGATAGCCATATCACGCTTGAATTCCTTCACGAATATTTTTTTTTTCTGAAAAATTCTCAACAAAATGCTTTTGTGAGCTGTCACTGGAATAATATTAACAGCTGTCGGACGAGTGGCTTAGAAATGACAGCAGTCTGAAGTTGGTTGCAGTTTTTTCATCTCACCCTGTATATAAGTTCATTAATTTATTGAAGATATTTAAATGTTTTTTTTTTTTTTCTTTTATGTTGAGCAGAACTTTATAATGACTTCCGTCATTAGAACAGCTTTTATGGTATTTCCTTGGTACAAGAGCTTCAGTAAGCCTAATTTCCAAAGGGGAACTCTAGAAGATATTTAACTCAGTCTGCTCTAACTCGGTCTGTTCAAAGACTCCAATTCTTAGTTGGCCTGTTTAAAATCTACTTGTTCTTCTTTTTGAAAGATTAAACGAAGGTCCTATTTCTAATCATATCAGGTCTTTGAAAATGTCTTCTATAATTATCCATTTCATCCCGCAAAAATCCTATCCCACCCTAACACGAAATGACCCTAAATTAGTTCATTCATTTTCAATTTCTCTTCATTTCTAATTAGGTTGCATTTTGTACGCTGTGGGCAAACCTGTTTTCCACAAAAGTGTTTCCGAACAGCATGGTTCATGGCTCAAGGATCCGGCAGCGAAAGAAATTGACCGCGAGAAAACATTTGTAACCCACGAAAAGGAGAACAACAAATTGTATGAGTTTACATCGAAGAAGGCCTATCGCATAACATCGGTGGCCCATCGGTCGCATGATATACCTCATGGATTCCATGTAAGTTTAACAGCCAGTAGCCAACTACCTCCGTTGCCTCCTCTACCTGCAGATGCAGATACACTAATTGCAAATGTCATTGATGATGAAATTTATTGCTGCTTTTCTTGTTGCTATTGTTGTTGCAGGGTAATGCCAATGTGGTATTCAATGGGTCATTCTACTATCACATGTTGAATTCCAGCAAGGTTGCCAAATATAATTTGTATACCAAAGGCGATTTTAGAAGTAAGTGGGAGGGAGGAAGGTGTTCTCTCTCTCTAACAAATTTTAAAATGCTTGTGCTTTTTTTTTTGGGAAACTAAATTGCTCCTTTTTTTTCTCTCCTCCTCTTTTTAATTGCAGCCGTAACATTACCTGGTGCTGGCTATGAACCTGGCCATAAATTGTACTCAACGGCTTACAATTACATGGACTTTAATGTGGATGAGGTTGGCTTGTGGGTAATTTACAGCGGCAAAGATTCCAGTAATACTCTTGTGGCAAAGGTAAGCAGGGCTCGAATGATTGTGAATTGAAATAATGCATGGATCTGATGATGTTGTTGTGTGATTGCTATTATTTGAATGATGGGGGGAGGGGGGGTGGTAAGCGGAAGAGAATGAAATCCTTCTCCAGTCAACATTTGTAAATTACGACTTACATGATTCGTTTCCTTGTAATATTCCCCCCACTTCAGCATAACAATTAAGTGCACACTCACCCATAACAAGGGGGAGGTGTGTTGTTTAGTTACTTATGCTACTGACGAACGAATGAATGAATGAATGACTGAGCTGCAAGAGCCCTTACGATTGGTGACTGAGTCGTAGTACAAATGATGCAAATGCAGTTGACATACATTTTGGCAGAACCATCAGACAATTTCGAGTGCATTGCTCCTATTCATAGACCATAAATTCCATGTGATGCAAATCGAGGGTGGTATGAAAAGTCAGGCGAAGAATAAATTAATCCAAAGCGGATTTGCAGGATTTTTTGGATGTATCAAAGAAAAGTTAGTTTTTATATCTAACGATATATGGTATAAAGACAAAATTATTAAAAATTAGATAATATAAAGAAGTTGAAAACAAGTAAAAAAGTTATAAGTTCGGCCGGGCCGAACTTTGAATATCCTCAACCATTTGGTACAAATTTGGCAATTTTCAAAAAAATAAAATCCATTAAGAATTCTGTTAAAATCTTAAAAATACCGAAAGTAGCAGTATACTAGGGTCTATACAACGACTTGGACCTGCATACGCAACTTTTGTAATAAGTCTGCATAGACAATTTTCAGGCATAGGCTGTAGTATCCATAACGAACTTCAAATGCAAAATTTGAAATAATTCCGCTTAATAATGCGGCTAAAATCATCAAAATACCGAATATCGGGAGGTACTGTTAAATGGGGGCTATTCGAAGACGTGGACTTGCACAGACACTTTTCTGTCATATGCTGTAGTATCCATTACGAACTTCAAATACCAAATTTAAAACAATTCCCATGATTAACGTCGCTAAAATCATCAAAATACCGAATATCGGGAGGTACCGTTATATGGGGGCTATACGAAGACGTGGAGCTGCACAGGCAATTTTCAGTCATAGGGTGTAGTATTCATTAAGAACTTCAAATAGTAAATAAAAAATAGTTCCGGTAAATAATATCGCTAAAATCATAAAAATAACCGAAGATCGGGGGGAACCGTTATATTAGGGCTATACGAAGACGTGCACCTACATGACCCATTTTCTGTCATAGGCTGTAGTATTCATTGCGAACTTCAAATACTAAATTTGAAGAAGTTGCGGTAAATATTGTCGCTAAAATCGTCAAAATACCGAATATCGGGGAGAACCGTTATATAGGGGCCTATCCGAAGACATGGACCTACAGGGCCCATTTTCTGTCTTATGCTGTAGTATACATTACAAACTTCAAAACTTAATTTGAAATAGTTCCAGTAAATAATGTTGCTAAAATCATCAAAATACCGAATATCGGGGGAAATCGTGATATGGGGGCTATACGAAGACGTGGACCTACATGGCCCATTTTCTTTTTTAGGCTGTAGCATCCATTACGAACTTTAAATACCAATTTTGAAACAATTCCGGTAAATAATGTCGGTGAAATAATCAAAATATCGCATATCGGGAGGTACAGTTATAAGGGGCCTATGCGAAGATGTGGACCTACATGGCCCATTTTCAATACCAAAAGTCCTGCAGACAAAATACATATTTGAGTAAATTTTTATCGACTTACTTCATTTGTTTTCGAAGGCTAAAGTAATTTCCACAGACGGGCGGACATTGTTAAATCGACATAGAATTTTATGCTGATCAAGAATATTTATACTTTGTGGGGTCTTAATATACCCTCCATGCTATGGTGGAGACTATAAAAACTGTAACAAAGTCAAACTGCATAATTTTTACATTTTTTTATTTTTTTATTTATTTATTTATTTTTTTTGAATAAAAGCAAAAAATATCGGAAATTGCATCAAATTTTAGAATTAGTTTAGATTTGTACGAATTGGTCACCTTTGGCACGAATTATGGCCTTCAAACGGCCAATGAAAGCGACACACGCAGCCCGAATATTGCTCTACGGTATTTTGTCCCATTCCCGGCGAAGCACTAGCTTGAGGTGATCGAAACTTTGGTATTTTTTAGTGCCAACCTTGCTTTACAAAATACTCCAGAGACAATAGTCCAACGGATTGGTATCCGGAGATTTTGGTGGCAATTGTGCGCTGGTAATAAAGCGAGGAACCTCATTTTATAACCATTCTTGGGTGGCGCGTACTGAGTGCGATTGTGAAATGTCCAAGGTCTGCGGCCAAAATGTTTGCGTCCTAAAGACTTTAATACACCCTCCAGAACATTTATTCTGCTTCGTTTATTACGAGCGGAGAGCGACCATCTGTTATGGCTGTTACGGCGGCCCACTCTCACCATGGCTGACCTCTTGGCAAGTAAACACGATAATTTTGTTCGCTTAAAAACTGCTGGACAACGAATGTTTTCTTCTCGGAGAAAACCAAATTCGGCAGTTCACCACTTTCGTCGAAGCGAAGCAACTCTTTAGCTTTTTTGAGTCTATTTTCTTTCTGTTGCGGTGTAAGTTCTTGCACTTATTGGAATTTCAATGGCCTTAACCCGAGCTCATTTTTCAATATTTGCCGAATGGAATATTGCGATGTGTTCAGCCGACGAGCCATTTTTCAGCCACTGCGACACGGGTCTGGATCAAGTCGCTTATTTACTTTTCGAACCATGTCTGCTGATGTTGGTGTTTTCCACCGTCCACTTCCTTGACGTCGGCCTACGCTACCTGTATCACGGTAACGAGCGATGTTACGATTTATATAAAGATTTATTCACATTTAAATGCTGGAGTGCTCTAACGATAGCCACTTGTGGTTTTCCAGCCAAATATAAATGAATCACACTATCACGCTTGAATTCCATCACAAATAACTTTTTTCTGGAAAATTGTCAATGGAATAAATTTAACAGATGTCGGACGAGTGGCTTAGAAATGACAGCAGTCTGAAGTTGGTTTCAATTTTTTAATCTCACCAAAAAAATTAAAATTTTCCTGATTTTGCGATTGCTCTACGGGTCATAATAAAAAAACCAATCGACACGCAATTGTGCATGAGGAGAGAGTTAAGGACAAGGCAGAATTTTGGCATATTTGAAATAGTTTTGAATACCAGCACGACGGAGAAGGGCAAATGTCCCGGTCAAAAACCAAAGGTAACATTTATGAGGACTGTATGGTATTATTAAAAAAAAATGACTAAAATGGGTTTGGACCTAATGAGGTTTTCCAATATATTTTGTAGTGTTGTAGTTAAATCCACTTTTCCCTCCCTCGTTAATGTGACATTTCCCATTAATCTATTTACATACATTATTCCGTAGTAGTCTTTTTTTACTACAAATGCGTAGATTTTAATGCCTCTAATACGGGTACGAGTATGTGTGCACACATACCTACCATCATACAAATGCTAGATTACAAATCTACATAAGCATATCCATCACCAATGCCACAATTGCAATTGTAGACTAAGCAGATTTGGTTTAAGGGCCCGGAATGACATTTGTAGTTTTGGGGGGAGGGGTAAAAACAATGTGTTGTTACTCTGCTGACTTTTGGATTTTGCTTTTTGTTGTTCTTTTTTTTTCTGCATATTCTATTTCAAATGGAATGCACATCTATCTGCAATTATGTGAGCCATCTATCCATCCATCTATCTGCACAATTTGACTATGTGTTTCATTTGGGGCAGCAGAAATTCAATGACATCCATTTTAAGGGGTTATCCATTTGTCTGCCTCCCTTCAACTCTCGGAAGAGGAGAATGAATCTTTGACTGAGTGAGTGAGTGACGAGAACTCAGTGACTGACTGACCGACTGTATGACATTTGATTTTCATAATAATGTTAGTAATGCTGTAACTGCTGTTGTTGTTGTTGCATGTAACAGCCCTACTGATGTTGCAGAATAATGCAGATATTGTTGTTATTGCTACTGCTGCTGTTCATATGTTCGTGCTTTTGATGTCATTATGATTATTTTCCAGTTGCACAGCAAGTGATATTGCAAGGAAACAGATGTTGCAGGGGTATACAAGTGTGGCTCTCTTGGAAAATTAATATGATATGCTGATGTGGGTGTAAAATCATAGATCCCATGATTGACATGCATACATGCATTTGAAATTCTGTAAAAGGACCAGAGGCTTTGGGTCAATGTTGTTGGTCCCGTCACCCAGATTTAGGCATTCTTGGATAACAATTATGGAGAATTTTAATTTTTTTTTTTGTCCTATACCATGGAAGTGCCCTAACATTCGGACACATTTTTGCTTATATACACCCTTATATATGTGTCAAACTAACATCATTATACCCTACAACACTATGTGTTGGGGGTATTATAAGTTTGATTGGGCCAGAATTTATGTAACACCTCGAAATATTGGTTTCCCATATAGGAAAGTATATATGGATCTTCCTAGCTCGCCGAGCTGAGTCGATCTAGCTATGTATGTCCGTCCGTCCGTCTGTCCGTCTGTCCGTCTGTCCGTCTGTCCATGTTAATTTGTAATCACTCTACAGGTCGCAATTATGGCCCGATCTTCACGAAATTTAAAATGTAGGTGGGGTTAAGGTCAGAATAGAACCCTATTTCTTTGGGAGATGATCGCCAAATGTTTAGGGGTTGAAATGGACCAAATACTGGAAAAATGTCGGATTTTGCAGTAGCTATACAGGTCGCAATTATAGACCAATCGACGCGGAATTTCGCATGTAGCTAGAGTTTAGGGCGGGGAAGAAGCCTACCAATTTGGGTGGTCATCGGATAATATTTAGCGGCTAAAATAGACATATCTTTTTTGTTGAAAAAAATCAAAATTTTTCATTAAACCGCGAATATTTTAAATCCCGGCGAAATCACAAAGCCATGACAAGGTTAC